AGACTCTGGGAAAGAGATCAGTTCCCACTGCTGCCGGGGCAAAGCAGGCTCTGAGCTGAGCGAGAAGGTGATGAGCCCAACAGAGTCTGGGCCTCAGCAGACAGGCAGAAGTCAAAACAGCTCTGGAGAAGAAGCTCAGGTCCCCAGCAGGGCCTACCCCACCTCCAACAGAGCTGTTTACAGGATTTCTCCATTCCCATAGAGATGACACTGGTAGCCAGTCCCCAGCTCCTTGCCCATGGCGGCCACCTCCCTTTGTAAGAAACAGGAAGTTGGGACCTAGGTCAGCTCAGCTGCACCCTCTACATTAAATATTTATCTTGGAGTCCAGGTCAGAGCCCTAGAGAATAAGAGAAGCTTGCTGCTGGTGAGAGGGGGCATGACCAGGATTCCTGGAGTCGGAAGATCTTCAGCGTCACCTCCTTTGGAGAACAAGGAAGAACATGAAAGAGATGTGGCCCTTAGTCGTGAGGACCGTGACAGGTGGGGAACAAAACTGGTGACAAGGGAAATGGGCACATCTTTTGTCCCCGAGGGAGGGAAGAGGATGGTGACGAGGGGTGGGGAAGTGAGTGTTCGGGCTTGAGAGGAGGGAAGACGCACTGTCACGCGCCCTCCTTTCTGCAGCTGACTTCTCTAGGCAGGGCTACCGTCCTCCCCACCCCTTCAGCTTTCTGGGAAAATCACAGATTCTTGGAAGGGGCCTGAGAGGGGACCTCATTCAAATCCCTGCTCAGTGCAAGAAGCGCCTTTACAGAGACACCCCCCAAACTGGCGGAATTGGAACCGCTGTAATCATTTAAAGCCTCTTCCTCGGAAACCTTGCATCTGCTTCCAGGCGTGCCCCGGATGGTCCCACTTGTCTAGTGCAGCGGGTCGGTTCCGAGGCCCGCCAGCTTCTCCTCAACCTAAACGCCCCCTCCTCCCACTGTTCGCTGGTGACATTGTTTCATGCTGGTTCACCACAACCTGGGTATCCCTTTAACTGAACTGAGAAGAAGTAGAGCTAATAGCATTAGTGATGGTAGGGATTTTTAAAAAATGTGTCATCTTTTCTTCGTTCCCTTCCTTCTCAATTTTTGAGTCGAATAATGCGCTTGGAAAACACTCTAAAGTGCATGGTGGCCCCAGGACACCAATCTTACACCCAGTAGGTATGCAGTAAATGTTTTCATATTTTCCTAATTTATAACTGATCACTCCCAAAATAGATCTGAAATTGCCCAATCAATAATTATTTGCTATTTGATTGGTTTGGGGCTTGGGGTCCCGGAGCCGAGCCAGAGGCTAAGAAGTACTCCGGCGTCTTTCCATTAGTAGTGAACATTCATTGAGCACCTTCACTGCCTAGCACAGGCCCTGTGTGCACACAGAGGCCCGGCGGAGAGGGGAGGGATGACCGGAGGGCTCCTGGTACGGGTGTCAGAGCAGCGGGAACAGCGGAAAAGCAGCGAGATCAAAACAAACGCGGTGTGTGGGAACACCAAGACCCGGTCACCCCGTCCCCGCCGAAGGGAGCCGCCCTCATCCTCTTCAGGGGCGCGCCACGCCCGGGGGACCGCTCCATTCGGCTGGTTTCCTCCCCGGGCCGTCCTCCGCGGGCTCGCACGTGTGAGAGCAACGTCCGTTTGGCAACTCACCCGCGCGCGCGTGTGCGCTTGTTTGCACACGCCCGGACGCGCGCTTACGCCAGCCCCAAATACATCTCCAAGGGACGGGGAGAGGCGGCGGGGCCCTCCCTCGGTCCGCTAGGCCACTGCGCCAGGGGGGGTGCCCTATCTCAGCCCCCGCCCGACTGCAGCGCGGTCCCGTCTCCGTATCGGTTGCTGGCTGGAGCCGGCTCTTTAGTCACTCGTGCCCCGCGTCCTGGCTCCGCCGTGCAGCCGTTCCCTTCCTACCCGCTGGAACTGTCGCTGGAAACTCTGAGTGGCTCGCCCCGCCCCGCCCC